TCTCACATACATCACATCACAAAAAGTGCTACAGTAAAAATATCCCAAATAATCCCAAATAACTTACAACTCTTGAGTAAAGAAATTTTTTTTTTTTAGAACAGGAATAAAGAAAATTCAACTGGCCGTCTCAATTGACAATATTGGGGGGTCTCAGGTTAAGTATATTTTATACGCATTTTACAAGCTCGTTGGAGTATGGAGACTGGAGAGTTGACATGATTGTTCATCAATCCTTTTCGAGGACTACAAGACGGATTCGAATGCCGGAAAGTACTTTTCTGAATTATTAGAAATAGCAGCCACGATTTCATTTATTATTGACTTCACTTTACTTTTTACCTTTTTAAGGGGAAGGGGATGACAAAATGGGTTACTAGTAGTATATATATTGCAATATATATATATACATACGTTAACATTTGCAGCATGTCCTACAATACAACGTTAACATTTCCAGCAAACCTTCGATTGTTGATCATCTTTGGTGACAATATATACATACATATTGCAAAATGAAGATAAAATTCAAACTTTTTCTTTCCATTTATATAAATTCATGAATTTTTATTTATAATACAAAAAGTCATCAACATAAAATTCATCATTAATTAGTTATTACCACGTTGAAAACGTTTTCTACGTGGCACCAACCTACTCCTAGCTTGGTTTTCCACTTTTTCATGCATGTGCCTCTTAATTATTATTAACTTTTCAAGTTACAAAAAGGAAAAATGCAATGAAACTGCCAATCGAGATCCTATAGCCTATAGGAATTTGCCCGCGAGTAGCAGCCAAGCGACAAAAGTACACAATTGTGGGCTATGGCTTGGTTTGGTGGCGTACGCACGGAAAAGTCTGATAACTTGTCCTCCAATATTCAGCAACCTAACGACTCTTGGTCGTATGGTTTTAATCTTTTTTTTTTTTTTGTTGCCCACCACGGTATCCAGGGCTTTGTCCTGACTAATCCGTTGGTCGACCCGGGTCGCACACCTGGCTGTGGTGGGTGAGTCTCCCAACAAGGGTATCTGCATACGCCAGGTTTCGAACCCGATACCTGCTTAAGCGGAACCAAGCTGCTTACCACTTGGCCCAACCCCAGTTGGTGTATGGTTTTAATCTTTATTACCGTCTCTACATAAAACTGTACAGACAAAGATGACATGGGAAGCTGACTACCAAAAAAGGATTAAAGTAAGGGATTCGAACCCATTTGTGGCGAAAAAAATCTAAAGAAAGTGTTAGAGCATTTTTTTAGTCTAATAGGTTCTTATACCTATTAGCCTTTTATATATAATCTCTTTGGACTTCCTTTCCCTATAGATTATGATAGATTAGATTATAAAAATATTATATTTGTTCTAAAAAAAAAGAAGAAAGAGAATATGGGAGATTAAAACAAAAAAGGAAAATACAGGTATTTAAAGGATTTTTTTTAAAAAAATACTATTATCTTTTAGTAGCTAAAAAGGGGTCTAGTTATTTCATACAAAATGCCTAAGACTGTGTCATGCTTCTTTTGGGAGGATACTAAGTGCGATAAATAGAGAACGAGTAAAAGTTTTTTGTTCGGACCGGAGATTATTTGAAATAGAAAATATACAATAACACTTGATAATACGTAAAGTAAAAAGGTTGAAATTAATAAAAAAAAAATTAAAAATAGCTTTAACCTGAGACCAAATTTTTTTTTTTTTTTTTTTTTTTACAAAAAACAAAGCAATTCAAATAAACCCTGATCACGGATCAGAATTCCTAATACCAAAAGTATTAGGATTAATCTTTTCTACGCTGACAGTGTATACACTATCAGCATTGGATGAATGACAATTATGTAAAATTTGAATTTGAAATTTAATTTTTACACATATATCATGAATCAAATGATGATAGTGTATACACTGTTAGTGTAGAAAAGATTTACTCAAAGTATTAACTCAAATATTTAATGGAAATCAGACCTAGAACCGATAATTGATCCAAATCCTACGGGTTTAATGCGTACGCGTTATTAATTTGGGTGTCAAGCTGGTAGTTTCGCTGTGGAACCTTTTTCACGAGCCTGTAGTGCAAATTCCCAAAAGGCGGTTATTTGTTGACAGAATTACTAAACAATGAGAGACTTTTGAAGAAAACGTACTCAACTAACGAAATTTTTTATTTAAAAAATGCACTCGGTGAATGTAACTTGTGAGAAATAAATCCTTGTAAAAATCAAAAAACGCATTCTGTTAGTGCAAGTTTTGAGTAAACATATTACATTCAATGAATAAGTTTTTTCACAGTCACGCTTGTAGAAATATATATATATTTTTTAAAGAACTCGCTGTTTGAAAATTTACTATCGTTATAGCACCGGTAATCATCACTAAACATGCCAAAGCTAAAGTGCCTTAGTAGGTTCACCAAATAATCACATTTATCCTAAATTAGTGGACACTTATAACTTCCTCCGACATCAATCACTTTTACTAGTAGTAGGAATTGGCCACACCAGCAAAAGTGCGATGAATGTTTAGAAGTTTCCAGGTAAAAAAGTGGAAAGTGATGAACTGTTACTTTAATGTTAAGTTTTATCTCCAAATCTCCATCATGGGTCAATATCTTGTTCCATCCATACCTGGACAAGGGGCACGGACGGTTGCAGGTGCAACCGTTTCCAACAGTTTTGGTCATTTTCAAAAGTGCGTAATTTTTGTTGCACACGGCGTAACTTTATTTACACAACATATAACTTTAATACAAAATTTTGTGGATCCTACACACGGTGTGAAAATCAGTGCACAACTTGTGATCTGGACCGCACAATTTGTTGAGACCAAATCATGGCAATTAACAACTCAGACCGCTCCTGCCCCGTTTCCCCTCTATAATCGTCAGCACCCCAAAAAAGAAAAAGAAAACAGAGAGAGAGAGAGAGAGAGATTTTGGAGGAAGGTGGGGCCGCTTATTGGACTACTAGTCTACATCGATGTAAATTTTGTGCTGATTTTTTTCTTTTTTGTGGCAAGGAAAAAGTTTTGTGCTGATTGATTTACGGGGTTCAATCAATTATAACGCTAGTGTATGTACAAAAGAAGTACACTTTTACGTGTTAACAAATATCCCTTATCCATAAGTTCTCCTGCTCTGAATCTGATGAAAAAGAAGTTTGTTCTCATCTCATGTTTATTTCCATGATTGTGATAGAAATTAGTCAACTTTTTTGTGATATGCTCTAAACGTTTCCAAAATCAGTGTGACAAAATCTAAAGTAAATTTTTTTTTTTTTTTGTCAGTATGATCCCTTAGAGCTCCTTTAAATAATGGAATACTTTTCATTTCAGAATAAGTGGTCCGCCAGTGTAATTGTTCTGGAGTTATTCGTCTTGTTCTTGGTCTCGTGTTGATAAATTAAGAATATGTCTTGGAATATAAACAACATATTGAAAGGAAGAAAATTTTGGTACAATAATATGAGGGTGATTAAGTTATTTTAGCACTTAAAAATTTGGATCAAATCTTACATCACTCTGTGGAAAAAGGATTATGCATTTAAATACTTAAAATTAGACGAGTAGTCTCTTTTTGACAATCATACGTTAAATCATAACCAATTAATATTTGATCTCGACTCATTCCAAACACCAAAATCCAAATGGACTTTTGGTACATGTAATCATGTAGGTAGATACTACTATTTGTCAGCGGAATCATACCTAGGGACAAAGTTTTTTTTTTTTTTTTTTAATAATACGAGGATCAATATCAATTCACGTAATATTACAAATTAACTCACAAATGATAGGAAAAATAATAACACATAAACTAAGCAATTCACACAGTGAGACTTGAACGGAAAACAAGACTAGTATAAGACCAACTATCATTATAGCAGTAACTCATGTAATTAATGGGTTCATTTGGTGGTTAAACTCGGTCTTTCTTGGGCTAATCACTACTTCTTCCATTCTATTTTGATAGTTTTGATTTTTTTCGCTCAAATTGAAAAAAAAAATTAGTTAGCTGAAGAGTAAATCTAACCTATTATTTTTATAAAATACTCTTACATTAATATTAGTAGTATGGCTAATTATTATACCTTGACATTAATTACAATAACAGTATTGGTAGAAAGTTGCACCGTTCAAAGAATGAATCAAAGCAATTATTTAATAAGATGGGTTATATTCATCGATGATAAAATATATTAAATAATAACATTTTAAAGAAATTAAAAGTTGATTATATTTTTCAATTAAAAAATGAAGTATAATTTAAAATCAATGAAAAAGAAAAACAAGACAATCAAAATAGGACTGAGGGAATAATATTTTTCAATTGGGTTTGTTTGGATAGAGTATTATTTGGAATATTTACTGTAATATTTTTTGTGATGTGATGCATGTAAAATAAAAAAGATGATTGACAATGTAAAAAGGTGAATTGAAAAATATATTTCTGATGCAAGTGAAATATTATTTAAAAAATTTTGCTATCCAAACAAACCCACGTCATTTTATTACTTATTTACCGCGATACAGCACCCTTTCCCTTATTCCATCAACAAAATTTTAGTACGTGCCCAGTTGCTCTTTTGTACCATACCAGAAACAAAAAATAGGACAGAGTGCTCTTTTGTTCCATCAACTAAATAGGTCATTTTATCACTTGTTTACCGCGATACAGCACCCTTCCCTTATTCCATCAACAAAAGTTAGTACATACCCAGTTGCTCTTTCGTACCATACCAGAAACAAAAATTGCCCAAAAAAAAAAAAAACAAAAAAGCAGTCGGGGGTTTAATCAGCAGTGGGCTCAATACGGCAGCCCAGTTTACCTCTGGCTCCAAAAGACGAACGGATGGGCTGGGGTAATTGTTACTTTCGTACAATGTTTACTAGTAATCCTCAGCATTTTTTAATAAAGAAATAGTGATAATAATGCAACCAAAAAACTTTATACGACTAGACTATTAACTACTAAGTGTCAAAGACCCCACTAATTTTTTTCAACGCCCCCCTCCCGAGAACTCCCACTGAGCCGGCAGCCCATCCAACATCTCTGCTTATAAATATACATAAAACATCCACTCCCCTGCATCAGCCACTTTCCACTCCATTCCTTTTCCAAGTAGATTCTTTAATTTCCTGCACAAAACTTCTTAAACAAATCTCCAATATTTTCAGAGTTGCATGGCAGCTGGTTTGTTGGCTCATGAGGTAGCTGACCTCTGTTTAGGAAAGCCACCCCTGAAATCTCTTTCCATTTCGGCCACTGTTGCTGATGCTTTGACTGCTCTCAAGGCATCCGATGAGAACTGGATCAGTGTATGGAGCTGCGACCACCACTCCAACAAGAACAGCTTCAATGTGAATGAGGACTGTGTCTGCATTGGAAAAATTTGCATGGTTGATATCATTTGTTATCTTTGTGAAGAAGAGAACCTTTGTTGCCCTTCTTTGGCTCTGCAGTCTCCTGTTTCTGCATTGCTGTCAAAGGTTCCTGGCTTGGTGAGGCACGTGGAACCCTCTTCAAGGTATTGGTCCTATTGGATATGGATATCAATCTCTATCTCCATATCCCTCCATCTCTTCTCTCTCTTTCTTTGTCTTGTTTCTTTTTTTTTTCTTCTGTTGCATACTTCAAGAAATTTGGCACTTTCTGCAGTGTTGTCTTCAATCTTCATCAGAAGTACTGCCTGCCCAGTCCGATTGTTGTTGAGAAACAAATATATATTTCCGTACCTTTCTAGACCTCATTAATGGCCTTAACTCCAATTCTGTTTACTTATAGTTTCCCTTTGACTTAATTAATATCCTGTTCCTAGGAGTTTGTTTAACTTTTCTTCTTCGTTTAAAGAAAGGTCAAGCTTTGAATAACAATATTTAAGTAGAAGGTAATTATGTGGAGGGAGATTCATGTGCCCAAAGATCCTTCAATTTTTGTTTTTCAGGTAAAAGTCACTGTTTGTTTTTTTCTGCAATTTTGCAACGAACATGAGAAGGATTTCTCATTTTTATGTTGGCAATAGCTATTGTTTTCTTTTCTTTACAGGAGTCACCGGCACCTGAATGAAAACTATGTTTATTTGGTTGATGACAAGATTTGAGGATCTAACCTTTAATTCAAACCCTGTTTCTCTTTTTACAGCATAGTCGAAGCTATTGATCTGATCCTTCAAGGGGCTCAGAATCTCGTTGTCCCTATAAAGAGCAGAATTACTGGAAGCTCAAGAAGGAAATTACTCCAAAAATCAACCTCAGTCACTCCCACGATACACAATGGCCGTGAATTTTGTTGGTTAACACAAGAGGATGTGATCAGATTCCTTCTCAACTCCATTGGCCTTTTCTCGCCAATTGCTGCACTTTCAATTGAAAGACTTGGGATTATTAGCTCCGAATTTGTGGCCGTAACGTACCACTCGCGGGCCTCATCAGCGATTGGAGCAATTGCACAAGCCCTCAGCGATCAAACATCAGTGGCTGTTGTTGATGATGACGGCATTTTGATAGGAGAGATTTCTCCCTTCACCCTTGCTTGCTGCGACGAGTCCGTGGCAGCTGCAATCACAACCCTCTCCGCAAGTGATCTGATGGCCTATATAGATTGCGGAGGTCCACCTGAGGACATTGTGAGGCTTGTGATTGCAAGGTTGAAGGAGAGAGATCTCCAGGGAATGTTAGATGAGTTCATGATCGATTCGTCTAACATTTCCTCTAACTCCTCATCTTCATCTGATGAGGAGTTCTCATCCTCAACCACGACGTTGTCACGGCTGGGGAGGCTTAATAGGTCTAGTAGTTACTCAGCTAGGATGATGAGAAGGGCCGAGGCAATAGTTTGCCATCCAGGAAGCTCTTTGGTGGCTGTGATGATTCAGGCACTTGCGCATCGCGTAAATTTCGTTTGGGTGATTGAAGAGGATGGCAGTGTGGTTGGAATCGTCACATTTTCAGACATTTTGGGGGTTTTCCGCGAACATCTAGATTCCATGGTTTAAGGGATTTGATCTCTCATCAGTAGAAGTTAATAATGGGGTGTTGTAAAATAGAAAAAAGGGGAACATGTGAATATGTCGAGCGAGCCTGGGCCCCAGTTTTTGTTTTCTGTCGTAGCATGTGACATTGAACATTTGCTGACTGAGAATCCGGCTGTACGTTTTGTATGCTTTGACTTTTATGAATTTCTTCATGTATGAACAAATCTATTACGAGTACTCTTCTCTTCATTGACCCCTACTTACATGGCAAAGCCAAAGATTTAGCAGCATCTAGTATTTTCTTAATGTGCATTGATCCCCTGCTTGAAATGCCGCTTAAGGCATGATAGCTCGGTTACTCAATGCTAGGCTCTCTGAAAAGAATCAAAAATTCTTGATCCTTCAATTTTCAGTCGCTGTCTCTCAAGGCAGTAGATGCAAGAAAGACATTCGCAAAGTTGTGGTAGTCCTGTTAGCTAGCTATGTATTTTGTTAGTCTGTCTCTATCTTTGGCAAAGAATGCAAGAATACACGGTTGCTTTACTCATAGCTTATTGACTTAAATGAACTTTTTCCGAAGAACTGAAGAAGTTTGTTTTTCCTACAGCATCCTAGTCTCTTCCTCGGCTCAACAACAAAGACTTCTACCTAGAAAATGGGGGAAAAAAGAGATGGATTTCAACAAGCATGAAAATATGTGATTCTAACACATATTTCAACAAGCATGGTATGTGGTTCCAATTTGTTGAAATTCATTGAAAGCACGTTGAAGAGAGAATGTCACAAGTAGCTTCAAAGGCTAGGATGAATTTATGTAAACAAATAACTTCAAGTTTTTTTTTTCTCACTTGTGTTCCCCATAGCTAAGCTATGCCTTAAAAAAAAAAAAAAGAGTCATTGCAACCATGTTTGAACGCTAGCAACACCGGAATATGGTGTCTTGTACTTGCATGATGAGTAATGGTATTTATGATTTCTTGTTCAGAAAAGACGAGACCAAGTTTGTCTTGCATGTTAACTTGGCATCTATATATCAAGAATTCTTTTTACGGGCTATATATATACATATAACCAATTCTTGTATCGATGTTAAGAGAGCTTAGGCATGGCAGTTAGTTTTATCTGTACAAGCATTATGCTTCGTTCCACTGTATATTTCATAGATTGGGTCATGTACTGCTACGAGCTTCTTCAAGATAGCTGGTGAGTTTCCTGACCCAAAAGATGATGTGGATTTCTTAAGTTTCTTTCTGTCTACATCCTGTTGTCATTATAAGTAATCTCCATTAATGAGATGAAAGGCGTATACTTCTCGCTTTCTTTTTGCCTACTTCTTGTTTTATACTATTTTGATTATTTAACACGTTCACTTTCGAGTGAAAAGACAAAAAAACTACTCCAGTTATAATACAAACTGGCATACATTGATTTACATGAGACGTGAGTCTCATAATACACAGAGGGCAACAGTCCTCATAATATAGGATTACGAGTTGATTTGATAGCACTAGTGGGAGGTGTTCTTTATTCTTGCTCTAAGCTACCCAACATTCTTCTGATATAATCCATCGAATCAAAAGTAAACCAGCTATTATTATATGGTTTCTCCCGGGATTATCTATGTTTTCAGAACATCAGCAGTGTGCATGCAAATTGCAAAATTGGGTTGCAGGCTTCCAGCTCCTACTTCTCTGGCATTGGTGGTGAAGGTATTAACAGAGGTAGGTAGGTAGGTTTAGCTGCTGTGAAATGAAAGCAATAGCGGAAAACAGTAAAAGCAATTGAGACGCGAAGGAAAAGTGGCAAATGGTGAAGGCACGATGCAATACGATGATTAGGCCAATGGTGTTAGAAAGGAGCAGGTGGGGCAGTTGTTCCAACCTATGACAAAATGGGACTGCATTTTATAGTTGAGAATTCGTTTTCACCCACTTTTTTCCCCCTTGTCTCCTCTGATTTGAAAGCGAGTTCCAGTTATTTTTTGGGACAATGAAAAGTTTGGTAGTATACACGAATAATTTCACAAGGCTTGCACAGTAAAAACTTGTTGTCTATTCAGTCATAATTTCAATATTATCCAGTTGACAACTTGGTCAAAAATGTGGAACTTCATTTTCGAAATTTACCTAACCCATTTTGGTGGGTTTTAGCTATACACTTTATTGGAGTGTAAGCTATGAATCAGGTGTGTTATGCCTTCAGTTTCAAATCTGCATATAGGTACAGTATCATGAATTAATAAATCAATCAAGTTCTTACCCTTCTTCATTTGCCAGGCATGGAGCCATGCCATTTGCCTATTACTAAATGTTAATGGGGCTAAATTGCACTTCTGATCAGGGTCAAGTCTCTGCTACTAATTACTACATGATTAGACGGCAAACATATCCTTAGTTATTGGACGGTCGAAAGTCTAACTGAAATAATGAGGGCCATTTATCTGATGGTATGATAAGCCTTTTTTAAAAAAAAAAAAAAAAATCTGCATCACTTATTTGCTAGCAACATGTACTTATTAAGTTTTTTTGGATAATAAAACTGCTCAATCAAGTTCTCATCAATCCTCACCAATTGGGTGGTTTTTTGTGGGCCTCTTTAGATTGCTTTCGGATCGTTTTTCGATTAACTCCTGCATTTGTTTAAATTAGGTGGACATGTGTGCGTGAGTTATTTACCGGTTTGGATAAAAAAAGTTCTCATCAATCCTCGGCCACACAGGTTGTTTATGGACATGCTGGAGGAGGAGGTACAAGTACAGCAAAGCTGCCACAGCCACGAGGAGTAAAAGCTTTTCAGATTGTTGCAGAAGGTGTAGACGTGTGTTATTCGGACACGGGGCGGGGACGGTCATCTATCCTCTCCGTGCTATTCACTATCGTAGTCCTACATTTTTCAGAGCTTACTAGCAGAGGAGGAGGGTAGTACATCAGAACTGCTGCTCTTCAAGAAAGGGTGATGCATGCAGATAAAATAATTGCGGTTTGCATGGTACATTTTCACGTGGTGCACAGGCAAATATAGAAGGAAACGTTTGTGCTTCCTTTGCCTTTCGAAAGCGTAGTTGTAGCTGTAGGTAGCAAAAATGTGAAAAGCTTCAATTATTGGCACAAGCCAGACCAGAGCAATCTTAACAGTAGCACGTGAAGAACCATTATGCAAAAGCTAAGTGGCAGCCAGGTTTGGATAAACCGATTTTAGCAAGAAAAAACCAGGAATGATGGCCAACAGCTTCATGCAAGTACAGGAAAAGATCTTTGGACATCAATTTTGTAGTAGAAGTTCCAAGGAACAGGACGTCCCACATAAAAGCATTCAAAAATCATTATCCAGCACAAGCACTGCAACACTACAACTGTCTTGTCATCAGTTCCGAACATCAAGCAATAAGTCTCCAATACAAACACAAAATAATATCTAGCCTCCAATAATCAAAAAGAAGAGCACCCCTATTCAGCACTTTCTGGCACAAGGTCTATGCCATCTATTTCCTGAAGAAAGATTTCAGTTGGTTTAAGGCATCCTCTGAGCGAGTCGTGCCCCAGTTGTGCTCTTTCATTATCTCCGAACCCAAACATTTGTCCCTGATTAGTGACCACGACACTGTGGTACAACCCAGTACTAACTTGGGAAATGTGGTGGTTTCTCAAGCAGTCAAGAACTCGAGGCCATAATATTTTGTCAGACACTCCCCTGTCAGGAAAGCCCAGACTACCAAATCCCATCCACCCGAAGCCATAAAGAGAACCATCATCCACCAGAACAAAGGTTTTCCTCTTGCTTGCACAGACCTATGTAAAATGATTCATTAGGTCAATGCGCAACTTTGAAGGAATAAAGCAATTAAGAAACGATAAATTGGATATTAGTAACTTAAATAAGGCTATTGCAGTGGACGTCTAAGATGACGTGTGAAGAAATGATAAACAATCTCCAAAGCTCAGACATTTTGTGGATCACATTAACACAGGAAAAATAGAGGTACAAAGGTATATTGTTGAGACTAAAATATATTTAGGACATTGTATTTGTATCCCAGAGAGTGATGCCCTTCCAGCAAGAGTCTGGCTCCTAGTTATAAGTTTTAGATTGACGGATTCCATCTTCAGACCTCACATCTAGATATCTTTTCCAATATGACCTATGCTTAACACGTGAATAAATTACAACAATAACACATGTTTTTCTCAGCCAATTACTATATAAATTATAACACATAAACAATACCTGCACAGCAAGGTGACTCTGAATGCTGCTCAAGAGCTCTGGAGTCGTCCTATCAGTTTCATCTCCATGGCCAAGTGCACCACAGTAACCTTTGCCCCAAGTATACACCTGTAGGTTATCAAATAATGCATAAATATGATTGGGATAATTGAGTAACTAACAGCAAACATCTCTGCAACAAAAAAAAAAAAACTCATTTTCTCTTAGCTAATGTGAGGGATTACATATCCGCAGGAATCAAGTGCCACCACATGTTCATCACCAGCAGATACACGAACCACATGAATTCCTTTTCTCCTGAATGACTGTAATGCACGTGGTTGAAGCTCATTATGTTGCTCACCGTGTCCCAGGCAAAAATTAGTGCCTGAACCAAAAGAGAAGAGCGTCCCATCTTTGCATACAGCAAAAGCATAACTTGGACCCGCAGCAATATGAACTACAGAACCAAGATGTTCGAGTAATTGTACAATTTTCGGTGTTGGTCTATCCAGTGTGTCACCATGTCCAAGTTGACCATGTGCATTGGTGCCACATGTATAGACATGGCCTTGTCTTGAGAGGAACATAGTGAAACTAAGCCCTGCAGCAACCTGAAACAAGTTTTATTAGTGTCAATAACAAACTCACGAAAAAACAAAAATTCAATAATGGGCCTAATGGCTCCAAAATGCTAAGAACTTAATTTAAAACTCAGCAATAACATGAAAGCTGTCCATTCAGAGTTGGAAGGGTAGACTCAAAGGGAACCATTCCACTTCAACCCAAAACACTGTGTCTTCTAAGCAACCACCTTATGGACTATAATTCTTCTAGTTAGGAAAGAAAAGGGTAGGAGGAGAGGGTTTTTGGGTCACTACTTGCATAAGTTTTACTAGTAGTGTCTATAACAAGGGATGGTTGCATAGAAAAGCGTAACAACAATTATATACCTTCTCACAAGGAATTCCTTTCAGTGATTCAACAAGACGAGGCCGGAATATAGGACGGTTTGTGTCTCTGTGCCCACAACAGAACGATGAATTATCTCCACAGGTGAAAACCTGCATCATTAAACAGAATCACAAGAATGTCAAAATAAAGGGCTTCAGAATTTAAGATACTCAAAATATTAATCATAAAGGGGAGATTGATATATACAAATAAACCAGGACAAATTACCCAAAAAATATGCATTTAAATACTGAAACCTTTCCTGAGACAAATGCAAAAGAAATACAGTTGTATTCCTTTGAATTATGTATAACAATTTCTCCACTCATGTAGCAACATTATTAGAGTCTCCACTCCAGAAAAATGTAGATATCATTTAAGCCCAAATTAAAAATAAAAAGATAAAAAAGGAAACATTATAAATGACATGCTATTCTTACTTCTTAATCCCTTCAAAATGCAAATACAACCAATGCCAGGAAAAGTAGAAATGGAACACCTAAATATATATTTAGGCATTATCTCATCTTACATGCTCAGGACATCACAAACAATGCAGTGAATCAGAAGCAAATGGAACTATCTTCTTCCAAAATATTACTGGAAATATCCTAGGATAGATAGAAAAAGAAGTAGAAGTAGCAACAAACCTCTCCAGACTGAGTAACAAAAGCAGCATGGTTGTGGGAGGCCGACACATGGACTACTTGTGAAGGAGTTGGGAAGTTAATGCATGTAAATGCTACACATTGTGTTGTCTCTGGACCGTGACCAAGAACGCCACATAAGCTGGAACCACAAGAGTATACCTCTGAATCCTTGATCAGCAGTGTGTGATATCTACCACATCTTATTTGCATCTGCTGGTAACACTATTGAAATTAGTACCTAGAACACTTGCATCCTGGCTAACTAAACAAAGATCACAACTCAAACACCATAAACATAGTCATAGACTCTTTTAACTCCCCTTAGAATCTAAGATCTCATTTTTGATACTTCCACTCGCTAACTTTAATTTGTTTCTATCCTTCTTCAAATTAGATATTTATAGTTAGCAACTTAGCTTTGCAATACTTACCCAAAATTTTAATTTTCTATTATCTTCAAGTTCTGCTAATATACACTACATTGGCATACAGAACTAATATCCCGAACACTGCAAAGTATCAAGTTTAAATAACCAAGTAATGCTGTTCGATTTCATGTTGCCACAGTTTACACCTAGGTTTGTGCTTTATCGTCAGAGAAATCAAACTTATCCATGTAAAAGCAATACTCCCATAACACAAAGAAAAAAAAAAGTGCCATGGTAAAGAAGTAAACGACTAAATGTCCTGGCAGACTTGACTTATTTTTCGTCCTCTCATTGCAGCGATGGGGTTGTGTACAATTTTTTTTCTCACCTGTTTGGTTGTTTTTTGCCTTCTATATCGATCCTAGAGACCGCCGGATTTCTCAGACAATATTTGTCTGCCTCACCTTGGCCTTCTCACCTAGACACCATATATGTTTGTAGCAAAAGCCAAAAACATTTCAAACTAACAATTCCTGGATAATTCTAACGAAACATACAACAGCAGGACATATCGACTGTAGTACTACATAAATAAGGTATACAACCATGTTACGAACTTCCAAAATCAAATGCAAATAAAACCAGCAAACAAATAAGCGAGCAAACGAATATTGAAAACTAATTTAATTTCCAAGAAGTAGTACATTGCCTGCAGAGGTTTCAACCACGTCCGAGGATTTCTCCACAGACTGCAAGAACCTCAACAGCCGCTTCCAATTACCGTTACACCTATTCAGAGCCTCTTTCTGAGCATTGAAATGCAAAGAAGCATAAACTGGGTGCAACTGACAGAGCCTAAACGCAGCAAAATCCACAAAAGACCGGAATTCTTTGGAAAACAACCCATGATTCTCTCTAAAAGTCCTTGAAGTCAGCTCCAAACAGGCCAAATCAACCGCACTTAGCCTGCCTGAGATCAATATATCAAGTACCAAATGCGAAGGCAAGTCCTCCATTGAAGGAGCCCTTAACCGATCCCCCATTTTTAAAGAGAGAAAAATGGATCCTTTTTTCTTCTTTTTAAGGAAAGTTGGGTAATTGAGCTTGAATAAGTGGGATTGAATTGGTGAAAGGTCAAATTTTTAGTCGAAATCGGAGACAGTATAAGCAAATTATGAAGAAAATGATGTCAGAGTGAAGAAAATTTGATGATACTAAGGGTTTAAACGAGAAATTCAATCGTAATTTAAGCAGTGAAATAATATAAATCATGAGAAGCCTAAAATCAGAGCTCAAAACCCGAATTGTGCAAGAAAGATTGAATTTTTGGAAAGCCCAGCTGAGAAAATGTTCGATCCGAAGAGAGAACAGATCAGCTACAGTTGAACTCTTTAAAAAAAGCGTGATTCTGAAGTGAGAAAAGAAAAATGTGGGGACTTGGGGGATCAGAAACTAGGGATTGATACAATCAAGTAGGTAAAGAAAAGCCAGCAGCAGTTTTTAGACTGTAGAATCATTTTGCTTATAAACAAAAACAGACTATTAGTGAAGGAAAAGAAAAAGAAGAGGAAAGTGACTAATGAAAGCTTTTTCGGTGCCGATTATTTTAATCTTTTCTACTTTTTGTAGCCCAAATGACAAAAGAAAAAGGAAAAGTTGAGGAGGGCTTAGCGACCAATCCATCAAATGCCGAGCTCATTGGGTGCTTACTATTGAAATTTGCTTAAAAGATGTGGACTTTATAAAGCAGAGATGACTGACAAATGAAGTAATTTTGTGCTACTTTTATATAAGAAATTAGAAAAAAAATTGTTCAAGAGATGGCCAGGTATCTTCTTTTCAACGTATGCATGGAGCTGTCTGAACTAATGACAATGTAGAGTGCCTTATGCATCTCCTATTTTTTTCTAACCAATGTGGAATTTTTGGTCTGAAATTTCGTGTGGGAATAATTTGAAGCATGAAACTTCAATTGTACTTTTAGTGTGTTAGTGTATCCGGGTTTTGATGACTTGAAGATGGCCTCTTTGTTGGTGGATTTTCGAGCTGTCGGCCCTTGGTGGTTGTGTTCTCTCTCTCGTTCCTCGAGATGGATTCGTCATTCTTGCAAGAATTTTGCCACGTGGACAACCTTTTCTCTGACACGTAGGAGAATAGGTGAAATTCTGCGTCAGATTCCACTGTTAACGAGGACTCGCAGGAAAGAATATTTCGCTTGCCTGGATAGCACAAATATTTCAAATAATATTTCACTTGCATCATAAATACATTTTCCAATTCATCTTTTTATATTTTCAATTATCTTTTTATTTCACATACATTACATCACAAAAAATGTTACAGTAATGATTTCAAATAATATTCTATCCAAACAAAATTGTTTTACACGCACAGCACAATCGCAAAAAAAATTTTCAACATAAGTAGATAAAGTAGCAACTCGATTCGATTCAGCCAAATCCTTCGTCGTCCTCTTTTTTCAAAAAAGTCGCATGTTTTTTGCGCGATGTGCTGTGATTTTAATATCTCTTCCAAAAACTAGGCCAAGCACAAAACATTTCTTGATACCTTCACCGCTCCCCCCTCCTATCTTTCTTGTCCTCTCCAAATTTCTAAACTCTCGTCGCATCCTTCCTTTCTCATTCTTATTCTGTGTTTCTATTTTTTTAAATTCCAAATTCTTCTCTTTCTTCTCGTTTTTTTCTTCAATTGCTAACATATTTCCTTAGAATCTCTTAAAATTTCAAAACCTTCAGATGATTGAAGATCCACCGCAAGTGCAAAATTGTAGGTGGAAAGTGTATTTCTCGTGAAGTGGCGGAGTCTTGTTACTTGATTTAAGGTCATCATTGAATCTGGTTTTGTTTCTCTTAACATTTACCAGTGATTTTTCCTTTCCCCATGATTTTATTTTTCTTGCTAACTTGTAAAGATCACCCTTTTTCCTTAATTTTGCTTTTCTTGCTGGCTTGTAAAAATCACTAGATTTCAATTTCCACTTAAATGTGTACCAATAGTGTATGTGTGTTCCCAAACATCTGTACTTATATTGTTTCATTATCCCTCTTTCGAAAGTAACCTTGCAGCAGTCTTTGAATCAATTTTACAAAGAGGAGCTTCTAAATTAGCTGTTTTGTTCCTCTAAAGTGAGTACGATTTGGATGTTTTGTACTAATTTTAGGGTTTTTTTTAATCTAAAGTCTCTCTCTCCCATATGGATTAAGTTTCACTCTTCGTAAATGTTGGAGCCATTTTCTTATTTGATTTCACCATTGATTAGATTTGCTAATGTTGCAATTAAGGAGACTGTTAGAGATGTTAAATCCAACTTCACTTGTCTTGCAAGGACGAAACTTCTTATTATAATACAGAGTTCAAATTATAGTGGAATGGTTGGGGTAGTTGGAGGTGATTTCTTATGGTTGTTTTTCCAAAGATTTCTTTTCAGACCTTTTTCATTTCTCCTATTATATTATTTTATATGCTAAGAAAACCTTGGGGAGGTGGAAGAAGATAGCTTTTCCTTGGTACTTTAATCCTTAATGCAGAGAATATAACCCTCATTTAATTGCTGAAAATGTTGTCCATTCATCTTACTTTTAGGATAATGATGGTATACTTACTTCCATCGTTGAAGACTTGACCTTACTTGGTTTCATTTTTAGTGAAGTTTCTTCTCCATCATTTTTCTTTTTGAAAAATTTATATTTTCCAAATATTAGATTTAGTCTTAATGAATTATTGCTTTTTTCTATTTAAATCAGATGAGAAGAGCTTTGCGAGACATTTCTTATCATTTTTCTATAGCAATAGTTACTGGAAAATATAGAGCTAAGTACATTCATGTAAAAAAATGAATATTCTGCAGTATTTTCAAAGTAAGACTTATTTTAGTTAATGAATACGTATTAGCGGATTTACAATTTTGTTAAGTTACCAAAGCCTTATTCTGCCAGCAATACACTATATAACCTACCTACACTACCTGGCAAAGGTGTTTTTATTAGGTTTTAGGCAAGAATAATGAGTTTTTTTGCTAAATTATGGTAAGGTTGAATATGAAAAAATTTAGTCCTTGAGGAAAATGCCATATTCACATTTTACATGGCAAATGTAAAGTTTTTTGTTTTGTTATTTGTGTACATTGATGGCCTGTATCTGGTAACATGAAATAATTGCTTAGAATAATCGTCCGTGCAAATTGATAGGGCCTGATGCCAAGTTTAAGAAGGGTAGGAAAGTGTAATGTAAGTGTTTATGCCTTAAATGAGACAGTTTCAATTAGTGAACTGTTTTTGTTTTCTTGATGATAATGTAAATAGCGAGTTACATAATACTATAGGGATTGGACAAAGAGGAAAGGAATTATATTACAATGAGGAGTATGCTTGGTAAAGGTAGTTATTTGGATATGAAAATGATACTAATGCATAATGTTTTCGTCCAAAAAGGTGATAGTAGTAATTATTTTTCTGTTAAGTTTGGTTCATGGTAAAGTGTAGTACTTAGTTTGCTCTAATTATGGTTGATATCATCCAAATTTGAGCTTGTTTGTATGTCATTTGCAGGTTGATGGCGCTAAAAATTTCTTGTAGATTTGATCAAGATACTTAAATGAGCTTACCTTTCTTCAAATCGAGAATGGTTTATGGATGGTATATACAATTTTTAAAGTTTTTATTACTTTCCATCTACTTGCAAGTAGTTTTGCAGTTACACTTTATGCTTTTCTCATTTTGGTGATGTTTTATTATAGTATTATATTTTACTAAGCAAGATGGAAATTAGAAATTTTAGAATAATGAGGGAATGCGTTTAGTAGGCGAATTTGCCAACATTTAATGTCACATACTATGGTAACTTATTACTTTTCTAATGCATGATTGCTAATGTTTGAAATGCATTAGCCTATTTCTATCTTTAGGGGAGGGGGGAAATAGAGCATAAACAATCAGTACTAGCTAATTGGAAGTTTAGGATTTTGACCTTTTTTTGGTGGTTTTTTTTTCTTATCTTTGCTTTTTTCATTCGACTTGGATAGAGGTATCATGTCTTGATTTCAGCCATAGTATGGTTAGGGTAGATGGTTTATTCAGATATCGAGGGTGTTTTAGGAGTTCTTATACTTTGTTTGTTTAAACCAGTATGGAGTTATCCTATTATCTATAAAATAGTTGTTAAAACATATAATCAGTGTTTAGTATCTAATCGTAGTATTTGAAAATAGTGTTGCAGTGCTTAGCAAGAAGCTTAGAAGATCCATTGGTATTCAACCTGCCCCCGAACACAACACCTTTGAATTTATAGGAATAAACTTGCCCGAATTACTCTCAGAGGTTCATGCAAACCTAAAGTGTTATGCACTTGCTATAGAAGTATAAGATGATGTGCTAACCTAAAGTATTATTATAGCAGAAAGACACAGGTCAGAATTACTCTCAAATAGGGAATGGTTTATGGATGGTAATATACAATTCTTAAAGTTTTTTTTACTTCCCGTCTGCTTGAACATAATTTTGCAGTCACACATCATATTTTGCTCATTCTGGTGATGTTTATTGTAGTATTCTATTTTACCAAACAATATAAAAATTGGAAATTTTAGAATGATCTGAGGAAACGTATTTAGCAGGTGAATTTGCCAACATTTAATGTCACATATTGTAGTTCTAATGCATGACTGCTAATATTTGAAATGCATTAGCCAATCTCTATCTTTAGGGGATAAAAAGCGAGTATAAACCATTAGCACCGGCAAATTGAAAGCGTAGGATTTTAGCCTTTTTTTATTTTTTTTTAACATATGCTTTATTCATTCTACTTGGGTAGAGCTATCATGATAGCTGAGTGAGATTTTAGTTCTGCCAGACCTGCTAGTCTATTCCCCTTTTTTTTTTTTATGCTGATTGGCACAATGGAATTCTAACCGAAATTTTTAAGGATCCTTTTGTCTTCTGATGATTATTGCTTGTAGTTGTGCAAGTGGTTGGCATACCGGTCAACAACCACTCTTTCACCATAGTCAAGGCCCTTCATTTCTTACAACGAATATTGTGCCATTCAGTAACGTGAAAATGTAACTTAGAATGACTGCTTTAGTACTTGAAATGGAATTTTTGGTGATCCTCGAGTTGCTTTCAGGTTAGTTCTTTTGGGACATAATTAAAAGTTGTACATGAAATGATTGCCAAATTGTCCCACTTTAAAGAATAAGCTAGCTATGGGTTCTAAAATTTCCTATTTTTTGCTTGTTTTACGTTGCCTTTCTGGGCTTCCTGTGAGCACTGGGGGAGAAAACGAGGAATAAGAAGAATATCTGCCCCATTACCCCTGAAAGAGTAGATGAAATTTTACAAACATGTTTGGACACATTTGGGACTTTGAAATGTTGAATTTCTTCGTTTTACATAGTTAATTATTTATCCAGCATCTTAAATTTGTATCCTTCTTCTAATAGTACCAGCAAAAATCTTAGGAATACATGTATTGAACACCTTTTCCTATATTATACTAAAGCTGAGTTATGTTTGTAGATGCTGCTTCCGAGCTCCATCAAGAAACAGGACCATCTGAAGCCAACCTTTTCTCCGGAAGATGTATAGTAGACAACAAGCGTCAAGCAAGTCAAGCCAACAACACAACTTCATAAGATTCTAAAGTTTAGATTGTCGCAAGAAGCAGACACTGGAGATTCTACAGCCAAGCAGACGAATATTGTCAATAACAAGAATTCAAACCTGAAAGTCTGATCTTTTGTAGTTTGTGGTATATTTTAGCAAGTTTTAGTAGCAGGTGATTTCTTGCCAGGTAGCGCAGATCGGCGCGTGCTACTTCTGGACTGTGGCCAGCATAATTCTTTGGTTGATTTGTTCCCTCAAACCATAACTGTATATGGGGATACGCAATCGGAGGAACCATACCTTTGTCCTCAAAAGCGAAAACAACTTCATGGAAACTTAGTTTATGTTGGTGTTTAATCAATTGCATAGACGATACTACTGAACTACAATAAACATGTTTCATAAGCAACCTCTCTTTTTCTAATTATTTAGGTGTAGAAAATACTTGCTAAAGTGAGTTATTGAAAGAGGTTAAGTGCCAAGTTTCAAAACCTCGCCTAAAACACCACAGAGAAGTGACAATCCATGAGAGGAAGCTTGGTTGATAATTGCTTTCAACGCTGCATGGCTGACATCCGTTATCAAGTTATCGTCTAAAACGAATACCAAGTTGACGGTAAACATTACAATGCATGCAGTGATGCAAAGGTATGTCAAAGGTAATGTAGATGAACGTTCAAATCAATATCTTAGGTTCCCTTGGAAGAGGATCGATTGCCCTGTTGCAAGTTTCAAAGAAACAAGGATATTCAAGAGGATCGGATCAACAATTCTGGACAATGCTTGAAGTGGTAGATTGAAGCAAAACTAAGAAGATACAGTGCCAAAATAAATTGGTAGAACTTGTCTGATCTGGCCATATCTAAGAATTCACTAGTTCTGAGTTTCAAATGCCTATAATCTGTAAATGCTTCATGAAGGCTCTATTTATCCTGGCTAAAATTTTTTATACCCCAAGGAGCAAAGAACAAGTCAAATTTTGAGAATACACACGCACTGGGCTAGACACTGAGGTTGAGATCGTTTATGGTTCAATTTTTGAGTCTTGATGCTATCAGATGCAACACACTGATAGATGAGCCGATTGTTGTATGGAGATAGATCTATGGCAGAGTGAATTCACTCTTGTGATTACAGAAAACCAGACCATGATGTAAGTCACTTGATTGTGCTTCCAGAAGGAATTCGTTGGTTTTAACAGCTCTATACTTATTTTCATTCGTCAGTAAACACCAGTATCCCCAATTTTCAATTGGACATTGATACTTCTCACAATTGCAAACATCAATTCCATTGCCAGCTTTTGAAAATTTCGGATGCTTCTTGAAGGATTGCTTGGTGGGAACTCTCTTGCCTATGCTTCGGGGATTGAATTTTTTTTTTGGGTAAGCAAAGATGTCTTGATTGTGTCATGGAACCCAAAGGCCCCAGCAAGTGTAAAAAATTTATACTTATTTTTTGTAGGACGTATTAATCCTTTATTTAACAGGCAAAATAGTCATTTCCCTTTCATTGCATGCAATAGTGAGATATTTCATTTTGCCTTTTTTTTTTCCCCAAATAAGTAATTCCTCGATAAACTTTTTTGAGACCCTAATTCACATTATTGTTATTCCAAAAGTTTTGGAAACACCTATATTCCAATAACCAAAACTTCCTTTCTTATAATCGTTTCCTTCTTTTATTAGTTTCCTTTCCTCCTTTTCCTGTCCTCTTCTGGTGCTTATATACATAATCTTTTCCTTAATCATCTAACCCTACTGCCCTGCCACTTCTCTCTGCATCCACCCCCCGCTCTCTCATACAATCAATTAAAGGTGCGCCTGCTTAGCTCTGCTTTTTAAACATCTTCAACTAATTATTTTTGTTTGTTCTTTTGGCTTCTGTGTACTGAGTGTGTTTGGATAGGAGATTATTTGAAATAATTACTGTAACACTTTTTGTAATTTTTTGTGATATGATATATATGAGATAAAAAGGTGATTGAAAAGATAAAAAAGTTTGTTAAAACTTGTGATTGTGATGCAAATAAATTACTTTTTTTCAAATCATTCCTGTCGAAACAGACCCGTATTTGTATTTTTTTCGTCTTTTGGGTAAAGTACAAATGAACATCCAATATCATTATTTGTGCGGTAACGTAAAACTAGATACGTGGATATGCTTTGCAGTTGCTTGGAACTTTAATGCCTAATACTCTTGCAAGACTTGCGCTGACTTCTCTCTTCTAAATTGGTGCACCCGCTTGACCCTAAATTGTTATGTATTTTGATTTTTTGAGTTTTTAAACATTTGTGTATTACTCAGTTAGTAGTTATTGGATTTTAAAGAAATATAAAAAATTAAAATATGATATTTATGAATGAAAAATAGTAATATAATAGAATGAAACAAGGAGCAGCAGAGAAATCCGTTGTTGTGCACATTATGTAAGAATGCTGTGGATATTTACATAAACATCAAAAAAGATTGCATCGACTCTCCTAATGACGCTCATAAAAGAACTACTACTAGTTGACGCTTTGTTAACTCTCCAATAAAATTCGTTTTGTGGTGTAGTTCATGTGTCTATGCATGCTGAAGGAATCCATATGTATTTGTTTCTTTTTTTAAGATTGAAATTTGTTACTAGTTGCAAAACCCTTTTTGTCCTTGTTGCACAGATCATCTTCGCGCTTGACATGATATATGGCGGATTGGGCTAATCTTATGCCAGAGTTGCTGGCACAGGTAGCCCAACGACTTGCTGGCCATGACTTTATTGTCTTCCGCGCAGTATGCAAGCCGTGGCAATTTGCATCGCTTACTTTAAAGGAGAAGCCACCTTTGCCTCCATGGCTGGTGCTTGCTGAGGAGGAAAAGGTAGGACTTGATGACATTTTTTACTGTGCTTCTTGTAAAACATGGCAATCTGCATCATGTACTTTAAAGCAGAAACCTCTCGTACCTGCTTGGCTCCTGCATGCTGAGGACGAGGCTAAGGGAAAGGTAGAAACTGATGACATATTCTTCTGCCTTGATTGCGAAATATATCAATCTGTGTCCCGTTATGCTTCGAAGGAGGAATCACCTCCTTTACCACCATGGTTCGTGCTTGTTGAGGATGAAGATGGATTAAAAGATGCACCTAAAATTCGACGTTTCTTTAACTTGTCAACTTTGAAGGCGTACGAATTTGAGTTGCCCGAAGCTTCGGGCAGGAACTGTGTGGGAGCATCTTACGGATGCATCTTCACTTTAGGCCATGATTTACAAATTAGTCTTGTGCATCCCTTCACCCGTAAACAGATTTCCCTTCCTTCCATGCTTGCCTTTAGTGATCATTATGCCTACCATCACGAATACAGGCCTCAGGAACTCTTTAGTATGTTTGTAGAAAAGGTAGCATTGTCCTCAAATCCTTGGCTGGATGAAAAGACTGGTTTGCATGACGATCACACTCATCAGGACTGCTGTGTTATAGCTGCAATATATGGCGAAGTGAGGATATTAGCGTTTGCAAGGCTAGGAGATGAGGTGTGGACTAACATTCGCGTCCCTTCCAAGGCTTATCAGGATATTATTTTCCACCAGGACAAACTGTATGCAGTGGATTGCCATGGAAGTGTGGTTGCTTGTGACATCGATGATGACAAGAGTGGTGGCGATGGACCAAGAGCGAAAATAATTGCACCAATTCCTTATGAACCTCCAGATTACACTCAAAAGTACCTGGTTGAGTCATCAGGAGATCTTTTACTAGTTGCTCGTACTCGTGGAGGCGAGGAAACTGAAGATGGTGAAGTGCTGAATTATTACACAATTGGTTTTTCCGTTCTGAAGCTGGAGGACAGGCTTGGTTGTCATGATCATTTAGAAGAAAATATTGATGATAATGAATATCCTTACAAATGGACTGAGGTGAGCGGTTTGGGAGACCGGGCATTATTCCTTGGTAGAAATCCATCTTCGTCTTTGCCTGCATACAAGTTTAATGGATCCTTGAAACCCAATTGCATCTACTTTACGGATGATGATCCGGATAATTTCTGGGGTGACCGAGATGGAGGGGGTCTAGACATGGGAATTTTCAACTTGGAAAATGGTACAATTGAACCCCATTTTCCCGGAAAGTCCATCCATCCTGAATTCCCACCTTTCTGGTTAATGATGTAATGTATCGAGCTTTAGGGGGGGTGCCAAAGCCAAACATGGCATTCACAGTTTGGGTTTGCAACCCAATACTGCTTTGTGATGAACTCTAATTGAAGAGCTAGCGGGCAACATTTTCGCCTTAAAATGATTCCCTCCTCCTTTATTGAATGGTGTCAAAACCGCTTTCATGACTCAAAAAGACTAGTATGGGAGTACGCAGGTTTAATTGTTACTTTTTTTGATTAATTGTTATTACATGTTATTTCCGTAAACATCATAAATACATAGCATCTCCTTAGACATTATAAACATTATAAGAAAAAAAATCTTAATCATCTTAAAATATTCAAATTTAGTTTAAATTACAAATGTTTAAAAGAGTTTGTTATTGACATATCATTTTACCATTGGGATGGTGGGACATAAAATTTTGTCACTTAATATATATATATATATATATATATATATATACACTATTCATAGGATAATAAACTCGTACGTTTTAAGATTTCTTTTAGCAGGTGAGATTTAGATAGAGATTTCAAAATTTCAACAACGTTCTAGGGAAATTTCATTAATTTGTAAGCATAAATTTGCTGAAAATACAAGGCTCAAGAATTTCGTATATATATTTAGGACCTACTTAACATCAAACAAAGTGATCACTGGAGTATATTAGTGGTATACAGAAATAAGAATTTTCACATTGATAGAATTCTATTGACTTGTTAAGGTAAAAGCTCTCTAACAAACAATCACCGTTAAATTGGAAACAATTGTGTTTGTTTTAATATAAACACAAAATAAGTGTTTAGGCTAAAGGTGGGATATAAATGTTGTCTTTTTCCTTCCATTGAATGAAGGTTTCTTTAACCCTCCCCCTAAAACTCAATAAATAGGCACTTTGCCCCCTTATTTTATGTTTCACAACAAAATGCTCTTTCTATATTAATTATTATTTTATTTCTTTTTTCTCTTTATCTACTTGTCTTTTTTTTTATATATATAAATTTTTTTCCTTTCTCTCATGTGACCAACTACTTTCTTTTTTTTTTACTATTATTATCTATATATTAATTTTGATCTTCTTAAACTTATTTTTTATTTATTTCTATTTTTTTACTTGTTTTTATTGGAAGTAATAATTATCATAAAATCTATGCTATAACAAAGCATATACTATCT